TAAATGAGGAATAAGTGGTTCTACATCGAAAATGTGAGGAGACGCTTCGCGTGGTAGTAGCAGAAGATGTTTCGATCCCTGAGCGCTGTGAGGTATTTTTGGATGGTTGCCTGGAAGGTAAAATGAATAATGGGAGTATTATTCTGTTGGAGCCAAGGAACCATGACAGCGAAATAGGACGAGGGATCGCTGTTGGAAAAGCCCTGCTACGAGCGAAGAAAACTGTACCGGTGAGAGTAATGAATACGAATTATTATTCTGTATCCTTGAAGAAGGGAACCCTGTTAGGGTACTGTTGTTCGGTCTCCTCAGTCATTCGAAGCGTGGAAGCCTCCAAAGTTTCGACTTCAAAAATTCCGGACAAAATGGTGAAGGAGTTAGTAAACGTTAAGGGATTATCTCCCGAAAATAGTAGAAAATTGGGAAACCTGATAATCAAGTATCAAGATGTGTTTGATAAAGGAGAAGCAGGACACAGAGGTCGTACCAATTTAGTACAACATAAAATTGATACCGGAGAAGCACGACCAATCAAACAAAATCCGAGAAGACTTCCGCTCGCCAAACGTGAAGAAGCTGACAAAATCCTTCGAGAAATGAAAGAAGAGGGTGTCATCGAACCATCTAACAGCCCGTGGACATCGCCGGTAGTACTAGTAAAGAAGAAAGACGGTACCACCAGGTTCTGTGTTGATTATCGGCAGCTCAATAATGTTACCAAGAAGGATAGCTATCCCCTGCCGAGGATAGACGATACTCTAGACACACTGCCGGGGTCAACGATATTCTCTACGTTAGATCTGAAGAGTGGATATTGGCAAGTCGACTTGGCGCCGAAAGACAGAGAAAAGACAGCGTTCTCGGTGGGCTCCGGACTGTGGCAATTTACCGTCATGCCTTTTGGATTGTGCAACGCGCCAGCTACCTTTGAGAGACTAATGGAGTCTGTGTTAAAGGGACTATCCTGGACTACCTGTTTAGTGTACCTGGATGACATCATAGTGGTTGGGAAATCCTTTGACCATCATCTGAAGAATTTGGAAGACGTTTTCAAGCGACTAGGGAGTTCTGGTTTGAAACTTAGCCCCAAGAAATGTCATCTGTGTCAAGAAAGGTACACTACTTGGGCCATGTAGTCTCCCTCCCAAGGAGTTGCGGTAGATCCACAGAAGACCAAGACAGTGGAAGAGTGGCCGATACCTAAAGATAAACATGAACTACGAAGCATTTTGGGACTATGCACATACTATCGACGCTATGTACAGGGTTTCGCCACCATCGCAAACCATTGACCAGACTTACCGAAGGCGAGAGGCGTTCTCTTGGGACTCAGATTCTGACGAGGCATTCCGAACATTGAAGAAGGCCCTGACTAGTGCGCCCATACTTAGCTACCCCCTTGGCAACGGAAACTTTATATTGGATACCGACGCTGGCAATGTTGGATTAGGCGCTGTTCTGTCTCAAATCCAGGATGGTCAAGAAAAAGTAATTGGTTATTTTAGTAAGACCTTGTCAAAACTGGAAAGGAACTACTGCGTGACCAGACGAGAATTACTAGCCGTAGTTAAAGCAGTGGAACACTTCTACAAGTATCTCTATGGAAGAAAGTTCTTGTTAAGAACAGACCATGCTGCTTTGAAATGGCTGTTGCAGTTTAAGAATCCTGAAGGGCAGGTAGCTAGATGGATCGAACGATTACAAGAATTTGACTTCGACACAGAACATCGAGCTGGGGCAATCCATCGAAATGCCGGCGCACTTTCCAGAAGACCTTGCGATAAGGACTGTAAGCATTGTTCCCGAGCAGAAGAGAAAGAAGCGAAACTCGTAAGAACAACTGTGGTTAATGATACTTGGCAACCCGAAGATCTTGCAAATGACCAAACCAGTGACCCAGAATTAGGTTTAGTAATTAACTAGAAAAATGCAGACCTAAGACCAACGTGGGAAGAAGTTTGCAGATATTCGCCGAACGTAAAGTCGTACTGGGCTCAGTGGAATTCCTTGGTAATAGATAACGGACTACTTCGCCGTGTGATCGAGAGACCGGAGGGACAAGAAGAGAGAAGGCAGATCGTCATTCCAAAGAAGAGGATCCCGGAAGTCTTGGAGGAAGTTCACAATGGAACCAGCGGTGGACATCTCGGTGTTACCAAGACACTTGCAAGCTGCGGGAACGGTTCTATTGGGTGAACTGCAAAGGAGATGTGAGGAAATGGTGCAAGAAATGTGACGTTTGCGCCGCCATCAATGGACCACAAAAGCGCGGTAAAGCCCCAATGCGCCAGTACAATGTAGGCAGTCCCTTCGAACGAATAGCGATCGACGTGGTTGGTCCTTTCCCAGAGTCGAACGATGTCAACAAATATATTGTGGTAGTAATGGATTACTCCGCAAATGGGTCGAGGCCTACGCGTTGCCAAATCAAGAAGCGTCCACGATTGCTGATGCCCTTGTTAAAGAATGGATCTGCAGGTTTGGTGTTCCCATGGAGCTTCATTCAGATCAGGGAAGAAACTTTGAGTCCAATCTGTTCCAAGGCGTCTGTGAAGTCCTGAACATCCGCAAGACCAGGACGACTGCTCTACATCCACAATCCGATGGGATGGTTGAACGCATGAACAGAACTATCAACCGTTATCTGGCCAAAGTAGTCTCTGACCACCAAAGAGACTGGGACAAATTTCTTCACCTGTTCCTGTTGGCCTACCGTTCATCCGTCCAAGAATCTACAGGGCAAACTCCAGCCAGCATCGTTATGGGACGGGAAGTGCGCCTACCCTGTGATCTGAAATTTGGTTGCCGACCGGGAGAAGAAGTCGCCGGAGAAGATTATGTCCACACACTACGTCAAAGGATGGACGACATTCATCAGAGAGTCCGCCTAAATATTCAAAGTGCTAGTGACCGAATGAAGGAACACTACGACATTCAAGCTGAGCATGGAGGATACCAACCAGGGAAGTTGGTGTGGCTATATAACCCGCAGAGACGTCGTGGGTTATCTCCGAAGCTACAATCCTCGTGGGAAGGGCCATACGAAGTCATGGATAGAATTAATGACGTCGTATACCGTATCAGAAAATTGCCAAAAGGAAAACCGAGGGTAGTCCATTTCAACCGTTTGAGCCCCTACCAAGGCGAAATAGAAGATCGTGCTGGGACCGTGAGAACCTGCAGCTTTGATCCCCCTGATTCGGAGATGTCCTTTGACGATTTCATGGCCCGATACAACAGCAGTGAGAAGGCTCGCTATGGTGTAACCAAAGAAGATCAACGAGACCTCTTTTCCGTGCCTCCTGATTATTCGCTCGCTCATTGTGTGGCTCGAGATTTGCGGATGTCCAGAGGAATCGCTGCGACGTTCAATGAGAAGTTTGGGCGTGTCGGAGAACTACGCCGACAGGATCCAGAGGTTGGAAGCGTCTTGAGGCTAACCGACAATGCACATGGTCAAGCAAGGCACATCTTCTACCTGGTCACCAAGGAATGGTCCCCGAGTAAGCCGACTTATCTCAATCTATGGAAGACCCTGATTGAACTGAGAGAAGCCCTGCTAAACAACAACATTGCACGATTAGCCATTCCGAAGCTGGCGTGTGGACTCGATGGTTTGAGTTGGCGTACAATCCGGAACATGATTGAAGTCTTGTTCAGATTTACGGGAATCGAGATCCTCGTTTGCTGCTACAACCCAAAGCTGAGATCGGGAGAGAAAACTGTAGACTGCTATTTCTACCAGACTTCGCAATGTACCAGGGGCCAGCTTTGCAAATACCTTCATTCACCGTATACATCTCGGGACGAGCATGTACCTAAGAAAGGGCAGTGTTGGGACCTGTGTGGACTCGACCTAACCTAACTATATGTCCCGCCCTCAGATGACCTTAACATCGCATTAAAGAATAGACACCGTAATGATTCATTCGTTCGAGAAAAATCGAGTCCCACTGGAATGGACTAGTACATACGAGAACATTCGAAAACCTTCTACGCACCTAACGATCTATGGACTATTCTAGAGTTCTTTACCTGTCGGTATAAAAGCCGGCGGCTGTGGCCTACAGGGGGCAGTTATAAATATACCAGTGCAGTTGACGCGCTAAAATTCAAAATAAATTCTTAGTTATAAATCGTTTGTAAATAGTTCTATAAGTCTTTTATCGTTATTGTTTTTGTTAATTAGTGTTAAATAAATAGTGTTTAAATAAATTGTGACTTTCTATCCACACGGAACCGACGAAAAACGTAACAATATTATCAAGGTAATTTTCTTTATTTACTTAAACACCAGTTTTATTTAATATAAACTGTTTTTTAATGTAACAAAACCTTCTTAAGACCAACTGACAGTAAGTGCCATTAAAAAAGAAAGAAGAGTACGGGCCAAGTAAATGACGTCTAGGGCTTGACTTCGCCAAAATTATCATCGGTTGTAATTCTCCAGTCGTCTTTGACGCCGTTTTTTTTCCGTATCGTATAGAGGGTGTCCATTTAAATAAAAATAGTTTATACCAATACATGGGACATTCGATGACGTAGGACATTTTTGGTAATACCCTTGTAATACGTAACAAAACTTTAATTTTTTTAATGCATTATCCATCTCAAAAAAATAAAAAAGGCGTCAAGGTGGGCTTTGAAACTATAAGTTATATAGGGCCAACCCTTAAGTTACTAAAGTAGATTTTTCTATAAATTAACCATATCTCATTCTTTGTTGTCATCTTTTTTTTTCAATTAGATGTCACAATAATGAAGAATGTGTATTTAAAATTTAGAAATATAAAATACTGTTCCTAAAGTAATCCTACCTGTAATACAATGTGATCAAAACAGCAAAAAAAACGGCGTCGGGGATGGTTATGAAATGAAGATCGCTGTCATTTTATATGTAAAATTATATGAAGTATGTCATCGATTGTCATTTACAAGCCAACTGGATGCCGTTTTTTTCGATATATCATACGGTCATAATAATAATTAGAAGTACTTACATAAATAGTTGCCTACCACAAAAACATCTGATGCCGCCAGTCCCCTCTCAATGTCGTCAATAATATTTTTCAAACGGTTTCCCAGGCCTTTTAGGTGGATATCGTTAACGTGTCCAATCAGATTTAAATTTTCATTCCAAAAATATGGTATATACTTCTTTTGAACACAGTCCGCGTATTCTTTTAACATCTGTAAATATATAGCGAATAAACTATTGATAACAATGCGTATCGTAACTAAAATTGCTCCAGAGAAACAAAAACACAAGAAATAGCCCTCTTATCCGTCAAGCAGCATTAAAAGCGATCAACTCAATAACCATCAACTCGTAGTTGGTCAAAGCAGAATGCCTAGAGAAGCTAAACAAATTTGACAAAGAAAATAAAGTCCTCCTACCCTGGGGGATACACGCCCACCAAGGGATAGAATATAATAAAAAAGCAAACGAACTAGCTAAAAAAGGAACAGACACTCCACTAACTGGATCAGAACCGTTCTGCTTCCCAAGTGAAACCCCACTTAAAGCGGAACTCAAGAACCTGGTAAGACTCCATCCGTAACCTGGAATGGAAATTCTCCAACCGGCCTAAGGCACTCGAAGGAATTTCTCAGAACTTAGGACCGAGAAAAATTTAAGATTTTCACAGATTTAAGTAGAATGTAGAATGTTTAGGAGGGGAGGGGTTAATCACCGCAACCTTACAGATCTATTGTGTGTTCCCCAAATTACTAACAGTTATAACTCATCATCAGGGCTTTGACAAAAGCCAGTGTCTGAGACGGCTCCACAGAGGCCAGCTCTCCATTTCTGACATCGGCGCACTCAGTGATGAGGTTTTCTGGTGTTTCCCAATGTTCCCTATAGAATCTACATTCGTCGTTGTTTCTCAGCTTCAATCTACTGAGGTGTTCGTTGAGGAGACAGTGTCCTGGAAACACCGTGACAATCCGAAGATTGTTCTTTTTTTAAGAAAAGAACAATTTTAACAAAATTATTCTTACTTACAGATTTAAAAAAGAACAATCTTCTGAGGGAAAAAAATAGATCTATAAGGTAGCGGTGCTTAGAAGTGTGAAGTTTCCCCACTCCTATACAATCTATAATTTACAACAAACTGGCCTCAGAGTAATGAGTATTTATAATATGCATAAAAAAATCTTTGGTTCGCCAATTTGCTAAAAAAGAACAACTTTACTTATTTCACTGAGCTTTACACCTATAAGTACAAACTTATCCAACTAACCAAAAAATGTTACTTACCAACATAAACACAGCCCCAAGAGGCAAAGACCAGAACTTTTCAGGCTTCTTTTCTAAAGTCCAGAGGTAAATGGTCTTAATAAAATAACTGGCGATGCAGTCATGCTTCTGTTTATCTCGCAATTTCTAGAATAAAAATATTTTGTATATATTTCATCTACAGTATGTCTCCTGTTTGACAATCCTGGGAAATACTGTATATTGCAAAAAAACTAATTTTACAATGACCTTATTTTATGTGACGAATTATTAAATTGATTTATTGTATTGATGAATGTGGGTTGACATTTAAATTATGAAAGTAATATGGACACTAGGGTGGACCAAAAAATTATTACCGTGAAAATATGGTTCAGAATGATGAACAAACAATTCTGGTAAAGTTTGAGCTCTTAATATTAATATTAAGAAGTGTCTCATAGTCATTTACGATTTTCTATTTAAATAACAAGGGGAAACATTTTTTTTTGATTTTGGAATTTTATTGCGTTGGAACAAATCAGCGTTTTGTAAAAATCAACATATTCTTGTAGGAAATTGAACGGTCTTGAAAAAAGGTCTGGTATAAATTCTCATTTAATCGACTAATTTAAAAGTTATTGAAGGTTACAGTCAACTTCAAATAATATATGATAAAAAATGTCTATACCTATGTGGCGGATTCATCTATCCAAAAAAATCCTTTATGGGTATTTCGCCACTGCACTGCAAGAAAAATCTACAAAATAAAATAGTTATTTTTTGTAAACACTTCTGGGCGTTAAACCTAAACGGACGCTGCTTGTCAGAAGTTGTGTTTACAGTTATAAAAATTTGCCTAACAAAGAAAAAAATGCTTAACGTTTCGGAAAGTTTTCTCTTTCCGTCGTCGGAAGGAAAGAAATATAAAGAATAAAGAAAAAAAACTATTTAAAATATTTAAATTGAACTATTCGAGAACACTTTACTTTTTAAAACAAATACGTCTACAAAAAACCTTTGACGTTCTGTTAAAATGGCATTATATTAAGTTAAACTTCAAAATTAACAATTACTACCTGATAACTTAATAAGGTAAAACCAAAAAGCCCAAACTTTCTGTATGGTTATTTTCAAATTTTACGTACGTTATGTTTATTTATGTTATGTTCTTTAAAATCAAAGAAGCGATTGCTATACATTACTAACATCTACAGATGCATGAGCAATACATTTATTTTTATTAGATTGAATTAAAAAAGCCTCTTTTATTTTTCTTTTAGAGGCTATCGCTTCTTTCACAAACACAGATAGATACTTAAATTTCACATCTAATCGCAGTATAAGTGTAAAAAAAGGTGTTATAAAAAGTTTATATGATAGGGCAAAAATAATATGTACAGTCGACATTTCACTAAACAGAGATATAAACCACATAAAAAATACATTAATAAAAAACGACTATCCACCATATTTTATTGACAAAACATTAAACGAAATACAAACCCCAAATCATAGACACAATGATAACAATACACAATATATGCAACTTACAATTCCATACATACGAGGCGTTTCGGAAAAAATAAGAAGGGTAGGAAAACAATATAACATACGAACATCTTTCAAAATACAAAATACACTTAGATCCATTTTATCACATACTAAACCAATGAATACAGAACAACAAACAAAAAATGTAATATACCAAATACCCTGTGAATGCGATAAATTTTAGATTGGTGAAACATCTAGACCATTAAATGTTAGAATTAAAGAACATAAAGATTATTTAAGAAAGGGAGATTTTCACAAATCTAAGATTTGTCAGCATTCATGGGACACAGGGCACAGAATAAATTTTAATAACGCCAAAATTATAATGAAAGAAGCGATAGCCTCTAAAAGAAAAATAAAAGAGGCTTTTTTAATTCAATCTAATAAAAATAAATGTATTGCTCATGCATCTGTAGATGTTAGTAATGTATGGCAATCGCTTCTTTGATTTTAAAGAACATCACATAAATAAACATAACATACGTAAAATTTGAAAATAACCATAGAGAAAGTTTGGGCTTTTTGGTGTTACCTTATTAAGCAATTGTTATCAGGTGGTAATTGTTAATTTTGAAGTTTAACTTAATATAATGTCATTTTAACAGAACGTCAACGGTTTCTTGTAGACGTATTTGTTTTAAAAAGTAAAGTGTTGTCGAATAGTTCAATTTAAATATTTTAAATAGTTTTTTTTCTTTATTCTTTATATTTTTTTGCTGCCGACGACGGAAAGAGAAAACTTTCCGAAACGTTAAGCATTTTTTTTCTTTGTTAGGCAATTTTTTATAACTGTAAACACAACTTCTGACAAGCAGCGTCCGTTTAGATTTAACGCAGAAGTGTTTACAAAAAATAACTATTTTATTTTGCAGATTTTTCTTGCAGTGCAGTGGCCATAAAGGATTTTTTTGGATAAATATATGATAACTTCCACAATTTTTTATATTTTATTATTAATTATTTTAAAATATAATATTTTATGTTTTTGAGCCATTATTTCGTGAAAAAAATATGATATTTTATAAAAATGTGGAAGTTATCAAATACGATTTGAAGTTGAACTTTAACTTTCAATAACTTTCAAACGAGTCGATTACATGAAAATTTATATCAGACCTTTTTTGGAGACCGTTCAATTTCCTATAAGAATATGTATTGATTTTTACAAAACACTGATTTGTTAGGACGCAGTAAAATTCCAAAATCAAAAAAATGTTTCCCCGTGTTATTTAAATAGGAAATTGAGAATCCCGATGAGACACCTCTTAATATTAATCCAAAGAACTCAAACTTTACCAGAATTTTTTTTCATCATCCTGAACGATATTTTCACTGTAACTACAAAAAAAAACATTGATTTTTTTGGCGCACCCTAATGGACATCTTGAAAAAGAATATGGTGTTCTTGAAATATATGGTACGGTTAAAGTCCGATGTCCGGTTAATGTCGACATTAACATGTTAATGTTTGGGTTAGGTTATGTTTTTGGTGGTTTTGTTGTGTGTTATTCTCGAGATTAACCGGGTAATGTGGACATTAGGGAGTTTTCGTTGCTTTAAAAAAATTCAACGGTACGGTTAACAGATACGTAACCATAACCGCTATTTTGACAGATAAAAAAACAGTTTTCGGACTTTCGCTTCATCGGTTCGGAGCCGACATACGATACGATAACCGAAAACTGACAGCTGAGCACAGCCCGTAGCGTAGTGTTTTGATTTTTGGTTTTTGTATTGTTGTTTGATTTGAAAGTGCTTTATATGACTTTATTGGGTATCGCTATATAGGATGGACAATTTAATTTTATTGGACTCTAGTGATGAATCGGATTTGGAGGATGCTATGCTGTTGGAAGGGTTTGAAAACAACATCGAATATCGAGCAGAACTTTATGGGGAGTTCAACCTAGAAATATTATCTGACCAAGAGTGCAAAGCTAACTTCCGCTTTGAAAAAAAAGACATTCCTCGATTAGTTGAAGCACTAAGAATTCCCAACGAGTTTAACACAGATAAAATAAATAATCAAAACATAAACAAATAGAATGAGGTTAGGTTAGATCTGTATTTTCAATGTTGTGTTTCTACTGCGCTAGTGCGCATGCGTACCGCTATGTTAACGGCTTTGGCTAACGTCCGTAAAATATCGGCAGCTAGCGGTTACGATATACGATAATCGAAATTGAAATGTCAAAGTTGTCAATTAGCGTTAACCGGAATTGCAATTTGTAAGCAACGAAAACTCCCTATAACTAAACATCGGACCTTAACCGTAACATATACATTTAATGACAGATCCACTAAAGAGAGAAATAAAATAATCGCAAAACAATTTCCGATGCACATGATCAACTTTGAGTGACAATCGATGGCGACAGCGCTGCCAGATTGTGATGGATTTATGAGATGAATCTTAATTCCAAATTTTCCCAATTTGGTTGTGAATATTTCAATTTTCAATATATTTATTACATATATAATTTTTTAAAGATTTTTACGTTTTATTTTTAATTTAATAATTAATATTTTAGTAATTAATTTATTTATAAACAGTAATCACTAACACTCACAGTAGCAATATTTAAATTTAAGGCAGCAGCTACTTGCTAAAAATAGAAATAAGTGTAAATAACTTTGAAAATGGTATAATGTGCGTACCAATCAAATTTACTTCTCTGACTGCAGTGAAAGGTAATAAGGGACCTTTATTGTTACGTTCTCTTCAGGGGCGGATACAGGAATTTATTTTAGGGGGGCCCAAAATAAAAAGTAATGTAGAATATGCTTTTTGGGGCGCCTAAAAGCCTAATATTAAACACAATTTACAGGTTATAGGAGGGGCCCGGGCCCCATGGGCCCCCCCTCTGTATCCGCCACTGGTTCTCTTTCAAAATAGTTTATGAGGAAAGCTACAAACTCTTTGCTTGACTGTTTAAATGCTTCGGCATATTTTTGACACACAATTTCAAGAAATACAATAAAAAAACTCAAAAATTTAGTTCTTAAAAGAACTGTTTGTGCTTAAAAGTACACTTTTTTAAAAAAGACTATCGAAATCGGCAAAAACGAGAATTATTCCCGAAGATTCAACAACAACACGATATTATACAAAATATGACTGACATTAATTGAAATTGATAATTGTCAAATCTTCTGATAATTGTCAAATAATAAACGACAACCTTGCTGATCGCAGCGCAATGTGACCAAAAATAAAAATCGCTTTAAACTAATTTGTACAGCTTTAATCTAAATAAAATATCTGTTACAATCAATTGCTCTATGAAGTAAAATGAAGATCTGCACGGTATCTTAAATTATACAATACATCGTTTTTGATAAAATTTCATTTAGTCAGGTTTATAGCAGTGGCGGCTCGTGAGTATATAGGAAGGTGAGGCTACATAAGGTTAATAATTTTGTTTAAATACGAATAAATTTTCTCACCTTTGAAGTATTATTCTGCGACGCGTCTTTTTAATGGTACCAAACCTATTAGGTGTGGTACGCAAAAATATTTTTAAATTATATTTAAAAAAGGTTTTAAATACCTGTTGTCTACCTTGCCTCTTATCGTTAAATCATTGCGAAATTTTTTCACCCCTTAATATTTAATTTATTTGTCTTTTTTCAGTTTCATTTTGTCTTAGAAAAGAAGTTTCATGTATAGAAAGAATAACGTTATAAATAGGATTTATTTTAAAGAAAACACTAAAATCCAACTCCTCTTCTGTACTTTAAAATAAATAAAATAACGTCTAACCTTTAAATTTCAACAATATTTGTTGCGTTGAATTTTAAAAAGTGCTAAAATTCCACCTTACCCTGTGTGTGATCAAGTTAAAAATGCTGTATCTAATAGCCATCAAATAATTTAAATTTATAAACACAAACAATCTAAATAATTCTCGCCCTAAATGTCTAAATAAAAACAAAAATATACGCTAATTAATTCACCCACGCTGTTCTCACTACAACCGGCCAGCAACCGGCACTTTAACTTCCTGAGTCATGCATACGAGATCGAGACTTCGTGGCATTTTTCAATAGTCAGGTGATTTAAACTACCAATAAAAACACACCCAAGCGCCAAATATCGCGCCTCAACCACGCCTCAACCTTGCTATTGAGAATGCGTACCCCGTCGTCGGCCGTCGCGTCACCCCCGTCACATGATCTTAAATCGTCGCTGTTAATAGGTAGGCAATTCGACCTTTCCAAGCTAGAATTGTTTCGCCTCTGTGTGCTTCTGTTGAGTCGCGTTCTTTTTGGCTGGGTTTACGCGGCTTATGTTGTGCCTAGACCTGGATCTATTTATAAAATATATATTTTTTAGTTTTATTTATATATATTTATTTTTTTATGTTGAATGTGTTGTAGAATTGTAATAAGTTATACTGGGATTAAATAAAAACTAGATACAAAAAATAAATCGTTCCTTCATTTTAAAGGTGAGGCGCGGCCTTAGAGGACTACCCTGACGAGCCGCCACTGGTTTATAGGCTTTAGTGTCAATTTGGATATGATTGATGATGTGCATCGGAAAATGTTTTGCGATTACCGTATAAACCACGTGACGTAAAAACATGCGCCAAAACATACCCACCTTCAATAGCTTTAATGAAGGCTTCATGCTTCTTAAATGTATCCCGCTTATCATATCACGTTCTTGTTCCTGAAAAGACAGCCTCCAATACCGATTTACGTCAAATAAACCTTCGTATTTCTTTGGTTTCTTCGGTACAACCAGAAATTTATCCTAAAAGTTAAAAAAAAGAATAGAGTGATGGAATGAACAGTTACAAACAAGTTTCTTACAAATTTTCGTGAATTATTCGGTCTGTAACCAACAGGCCAATCTTTTTTCTCAAACTGGAACGAGGGTACTAGATCCACACAAATTTTCTCGCTATTAGGGTCCCCAATAGCGAGTTCTAAAGTAAACGCTGGACTCCCTTTAACCATAGTCATCTACAATGTCAGTAAAAGGATTGATATACCGTGAGTTCAAGATAGTTGGATGTATATGAGGAAAAATGTGTAGATGAAGTTTCTGCAAAAGGTCATGCCATAGATAAAAGAAAGAAGTTTAGATTGGAAAGTGCCCATACGAACAATGTAAATACTATTTGACGCTATTCTTGCAATGGTCGCTCTCTAAAGCTTTTGATAATTTCGGAGCGGTTGGGCTTTTTCCGGAATTATGTCGCCAAATATAATTTATTCCCATTTATTATCATTTTCTTTCAATTTTTTAAAAAATACAGTTTGCTGCATATAAGAAACTTTATTTTATATAAGGACATGTATGAATACCTATGAGACATTGGAAACCGACGTTATGCCACGATCCACGATGGTTTTTGCAATTCACAATTTACACAGCTTTTTAAGTTTTTAATGCCACTTTTTCACAATAATTATCGCGGGTTTGAGTAAATAACATTTAAATTAAACTCACAATATAGTAAATAATTACTTTGAAAATGGACGCTTTAAACATTTTTCGATATTTTTAACATTGAAAATGTTTCTGTTATCCTATATAAGGGAGCCCAAATCGAATTAAAATGCTACATTTGCCAAACCATGACGTCATATATACAAGGGTATAGGAAATTTCGGCGCAGCGGCGGCAGTCGGCCGGCGCGCGCAAAAACCATTACATCGCTAATTGTTTATTGATATATCTTTATTAGTTTAAAAGCAAAAAATATGGGGTTTGCTTTGATACCTTGTCAAGACATAAGCGAAACTTTTAAATTGTTTCTTTTTTTCATTTAGGCCTTCGTTTTTCGTTAAATGAAAGTTATATTAAAAAAATCTATTTTAAACCAAATTTTCGCATGATTGAAATGATTATTCATGTTTAAAGTTTTTTTGGTCATAAGCGCTAATGGAAATGTTTTTTCGTAAATAATTATAAAAATTACTCCCTACGAAGACTTTATTGTGTACTGGATCAAAAAATAAGTATTTGTTTTCTCTATACGGTGGTATTAATATATCGATTTTTGATGATAGTGCCCTTTACCCGGTCTAATTTTGTACTACTTTCGGAATAAGGGTCCCCATATCATGTACTGTACTTCCATCCCTGAAAAATTCAGCTTGTGACACCGAAGTGAGAGGTAACGTCAAAATAAGCTTTAATCTACCTACATCATAGGTAGGTGTAGGTACTCTAGGTATATTCTACCTAGACAGTAGCTGAACTAGCTGACAGTAGTAACTAATTTGTTATCCGATAAGTAGTTGTCATTATATAAGTTTAATCATTTTATACCTCCTATAACGGTAGGTTTTGGATTTTTCCTGATTGGTTTGTTAAACAAAAATATACTGGGCATATAAATGTCTGTTACAGGTTAATTCGTTAAAGAAATATGTTACACATATTATTTTAATAATAATAGTATAATAGTAATGGCTATATTATGTTATAACACATACATATGTATTGAATGTACTTATTTTAACCAATGCATTGTTTTGTTTTTTTTAATCTCACAAATAAGAAATGTTTTATAGTTTTTATTATAAAAAACAGTGATTATACAATTTATTTACACCCCTTACACTGTTTTCTGTAAGGGGTGTAACCAGGAGTATATTTCGTAACCTCTTACGATATAAGAGGGCCCCACAAAGTGTTTTATTACTTAATGCTTAAAATTTAATAATATATTTGTACATAAAATAAAATAGACTAGAAGTTTTTAACTTGTGTAACATATTTCTTTAACGAATTAACCTATAACAATAGTGGTAGGTACGCGCACAGATTTTTTCGCTAGGTAACTTATTAAGTCGTTAAACAGGCCTATAAAAGCTATAACAACATAGGTAACTAATAGTTATAATTTAATTCGAGTTTTAATCTCAAATAATAAATGTTTTTACTGGTGTATTTCTGAAGTGTTCATTATTAAAAGTAGATATTCTTCAAGTTATGCGAAGTAATAAGTAATGTTTCCGGTGAGACCGCGTATATGTCACCGGATTCTGGTTAGTATAAAGACTTTTTCTATAGAAAGAGTTTTTTCTATATTTTCCTTTCAAAATAAGACTAATTTCTTCTTATTCTTTTAAATATTACAGTGTTTCATTTTCCTAAAATGTTATACTTAATTTTCGCTTAAAATTAAAAAATCACAAAATATACGTTAGGAGAGGAAAATATACGTTATTGAATAAAGTTTATACAAATCACTTTACCATAACAAAAAAGTAAAAACATGTCATGGCGGAAGATATTCAGGTGACATTTCATACATTTATCTATTAAAATCGAGATTAAAATAATAAACTTGCGTAACATGTTATACACGAGATAGAAAGTTTCAGAATCGATTAATACGCAATACGCTACGCAGTCAACTTATTCCTATGCGCGGATGAGCGTCTTCAAGACTCTTCCTTCGGCCAGGGTCACGACGCCGCCGAAGAGGAATCGGCCTACGTTTGGCTAAACAGGCTGGACACGGTGGAGTACGATATTAGCGAGTCTGAATATTTATAAAAATTTGCAAAGTAAAATATGTTGGAAAAATAATTAATCCATACATATATAAAAGCTCAAAGGGTTTTTTTGTTGCATCCATCCCGCCGAAACCGCTTTGCCAATCTTGATGATTCTTTCTTTAAATGAAAGGTATATATGTGTAGATTTGTTATGAAGTATTTTTATAGTGCTTAATGGCTATTTCTTTGTGTAAAACGACTAAATACTAAAACATGCCTGAAAAACACCTACACACAATACCTCCAGATATAAATTATTTGTCTTTGTCAGTGGTGTGTCAGTTAGATTATATATTACGTTTTTAGATATTTTAGAGTAAGTTCATGCCGCCAGCTTTACATACATAAATATTAGCACAAAGGTTCGTTTAAACGACATTAGTGAATTAGCTACACAAAGCGATTTTAGGAAATTCATCCTCTTAGAGAGTAAAATTATCTCGGAACAGTTTGTTGTAAGAAAATTCCTTACTATTTGGTCTAGAAGAATGAAATCCTACAAAAAGAATTAGAAGAATTTTTTTAAATTCATCAACCAAATGGGTAAAGTTAGTAAAAATTTATATAAAACTTGGTGACCTCTGGATTATACACATAAAAATGGGCACAAAGGTAAAGCGAATTTATGAAATTTATACCCTTAGGGAGTAGAATAGGGAATGAAAGTTTGCTGTACGAAAATGCAATATTATAACATTATAAACCAGACAGTATAAATTTTTATACAAGGGTTTATTTAGTGACATCATAACGAAATATATCTTCCTCAATTATCCTATAAAGAATAAAAAATAACCTATAAAGAGAGTATTAGTGCTCTTAATAAATAAAAAAAGATGAAAAATAAAAAACATCTATATGCTCACTAGCTCTCTATAAAGAAGTAAAAAATCATTTAAATCAATGCATGAACGATTCGAGGTGTACCGCGAACGTAGTCGCTAGAAAAAGCTAGTAATTTACTAAATTATTTTATTTAACTCATTAATTTTCATTGAAAAGGAATTTTTGTAATTCGCCACTATATTAGTTAAAAACTAAGAAACTCATATCAAATTTAAGGTTTGCGATTTTGACTTATACTTTTTACAAAATCTGAACACATTTTAAAAGAAAAAAAGTTTTTGATAATATTTGTGTAGATTGACTACAAGTTGTATAACATAAATTTCTACGACCGGTCTACCTAGTGGTCTGCAGCATCGCCTTGTGGTGCAAACGTGGGCCTGTTAATCTGTGACGTGACGCACAACAGCCAAGAAAAACAGAAGCGTGGCTAAGAATTTAGTAATTAAAAAAAAGTCTTTTAGATACAGTAGTAGGTATTAAAAGTTTTGTGTTTAAATGGGGTTTGCCTTTAACAGTTAAAAAAATTATATCGTAAAGTGTAACTTTCCGTAAGAATTCTTTTTTTTTTTTGCTTGCTTGTTTTACGGATAGGTGCGATCGCATAATTATTATTGATAATGTTTTATTTAATTTTAAGATTACTACTTTTTCAGTGAATCTTTAAATCTGTTGTTTTTTGTTAAGTTCGTTATTTAAACATATGTATGTAATACACTCATATTAACACTATTCATATTTTTACGTTTTTATTCATCATTTTCAATGCCCCCCGGTTGCATCTTTGTAAAGGACTGTGAATTTTTCAATGAGGACGATTTAAATTTTGAAAGATTTTATTATTTTTGAAGATTCTGACTTCTGACTTGTTCTTAGCAAACGCTATAGCAGCGCCCTACAACATATGCTCTCCAAAACAATTAGTCGAGCCGAGCATTCCAATCTAAACTTGTTTCCTTTATCTATGTATGTTGATTTTTTTATTTAAATCCATAACTGAAATAAAAAAATCCATGATTTAAATCATTGCACCCTGTGTATGGATAAATTGTAATATAGTAAGTATGGATCATATTACAAGAATGAGAGCACACAGTAAAAATCTACTTAAGCCACCGAATTCAACGTGAAAAAATCTATGGGACTAAGTTTTCATCTTTTCGATAAGTTATAAGATAACCGAGATGTGTCGAAAAATGCAATATTTTCAGTTTCAGCCTGTATTTCTGGAACTGGGCTAGGGCAAGTCTGTGTATAGCATCTTTAGTTTCATAAAAAAGGAATCAGTAATGTGAAAACCGCATCTTTGTAGCTATAGATACTCAAAACGCAAAAAAATGGAACAACCTGTACAATATATACTTTTTTGTAATATCGTTTTTTAATATTGTTTAATATCGTTTCAATAATAACAATCTAACATTACTTACATAAACAAGAACTTTGTCATCCTGACCGGTTAATTCCATATAATGTTTTCCATTTAATTTAAAAAATTTATCCATTGACGATGATACGACACTCTCCATCCATGTGAGCACTTTTTCTGTCGAAAGAAAATTATCGTGATCCAGAAAACGTCGAATATCTCTGTAAGGACAATATCAAATAAAAAGAAATTTAAAAAAGCTTTAAAACTATACAAAGTGTTCAAGTTAACAATAATTACGCGTCATATGCCGGGTCCAGACCAAGGCAACAACAAGTAAACACGATTTTGAGACAAAAACAAGACAAACTTGCAACAAAAAATGGGGAACTCTGACAAGACAAACTTGAGACAAATTGTCCACACCGCAAGGACAAAAGTAGAACAAAGTCAAAAGTTTAGTTGTTGCGAATGAATTTTATTAACCATGTGCGATTTCACTGGTCTCCTACTGTTGGCAGCATACGCCATCCACATTGCGCCGACAACTTGTCGTAAAATAAACGAACAAAATATAGACATTTTGATTTTTACCGACTCGAGACGGGACATCACCGTCGGGAAAGTCTCCGAATTTTGAAACAAAACAAAAATGAGACAAAAATGTCGCAGAAATGTATTGGATTTATCACAGTTTTGTCGTAAAACATGAATGTTTCTGTCTTGTCGTTGTTTTGTCTGCTTGGTTTGGTTTGGTTTGCTGGACCCGGCAATAGAGTCAAGAATATACAGATGTTTGCAAAATGCTATCTCTATGCATAAAATCTTCGTTAAATACCATCATGCTTCAATTCTAAACGTATCTACAATAGTTATAAATACATGAAATCTCTATTATAGTTTAATTTTAAAACTAGAAGGGGAATTTCGGACTCCCATTGTCTTTATTTATTTTGCTTACACAACAACGTGTCGGTCAACGTGTCGTCTCTCTCTCTCTCTCTCTCTCTCTCTCTCTCTCTCTCTCTCTCTCTCTCTCTCTTTCTCTCTCTCCTCTCTCTCTCTCTCTCACACACACACACACACACACACTCTCTCTCTCTCTCTCTCTCTCTCTCTCTCTCTCTCTCTCACACACACACACACACACTCTCTCTCACAGACACACACACTCTCTCACTCTCTCTATCTCTCTTTCTCTCTCTCTCTCTTTCTCTCTCTCTCACTCAAAGAGTGTATCTACCAGGTACCTTGCAAGTGCGGCGAGACAAAACACCCTCTACACGTACGACATGATGAACATAAAAAATATAAGCAAAGAGGTGAAACAATGAAGTGGGATCCAAGCACCACAGGAACCAGATGACCAGTGGAAAAAAAACGCAAATTTAAAAAGAGGCCGTATTCATTTCTAACAATAATAAAATCTTTAGCAATCCTAGTATGGAAATTTCAACAATATGGCAACCACTCATAAAACGCTCCAATGCAGGCATTCTTAGTGGAAAACCTCATGCTTAACTGCATCCAACTAATTCGCGGGTGAATGCTCAGCTCTAGTATACATATTGTTAACTCGACAATTACTTATTGGGGAATAGCATGGCAACACTGTCTATTGAGAACGCATGCACTATAGGCTCTTCTGCCGACTCGCCCCGTCGCGTCGTCTATCGACGAGCGGGCCGAGGTTGCCATATTTCAACCATAAAGCTCTTGCCGCGAGTAATAAACAAATTAACAACCTGTATAAGCTCAGTAGTTTTAGGATTCAGTGTAGTTCACACTTGATATCGGTCAGTGATACTTCTGACCGAAACGTTGTGTAACCAAAATAAATAAAGACAATGGAAGTCCGAAATTCTTTTAGTTTTAATACTGAATCATTGTCTGCCACATTCAAAGTAAGTATTATTATTAACCATTAACCTATGATTAATATTTTCTCTCAATACATACTCAAATCTGTACACGTACGACATGATGAACATAAAAAATATAAGCAAAGAGGTGAAACAATGAAGTGGGATCCAAGCACCACAGGAACCAGATGACCATTGAAAAAAAAACGCAAATATAAAAAGAGGCCGTATTCATTTCTAATAATAAAAGTTGTCCCCCTCACAAACAAAATTGACGTGTTTTTAAATTTTCTGAAAATAAAAATTATCCTGGCCGTTATGCCTTGCGGAACGTTTTCGATGGGCCACCCTGTATGACACAAACATATGTTTTTTTTAAATGGTAACCATAGTTGGCCATGACTTCATAAAAAGCGCTATTTTTAAGCTTTTTAGCGATATAAACTATAATGTGGTTTTTTCAATGAATTACAGAGTTATAGCCAATTCTTATCTTTCTTGACTAATTTCACTTAGTTGGCATGGTGTTCTTATTTTGTTATGATTTATAACTTATAAAAAGACAAAATATATTATTAAACGGCTCTTTACAATTTCCATTACACAAAATAAAACTTAAAAAAATAATATCACTACGTACACTTAACTTATTTTAGAAAATGTTCAAAAAATCCGCCATTGTTTTGAGTACATAAATGCATCTTTTTAAAACTGAATTTCTAGCTATTCTCACAGAACGACCGGTCGACTTAATTAAAGTTCTCCCGTACCGCCCCTTCGAGTGTCTCTCTTAATTCATTAGTTCTTTTGTAAACCTTGTTGTTAGCCATACTGCATAATCTAAAATGGATAGGTCAGGTAATCGAGGAGGCCCATGCAATTGGTCCACGTCTTTCTATCCCTGAGTCTTTATAATTATGATATAAATAATTTTTAACATTTCTTTTATTGTGGGGTCGGGGATGGTGTGTCATGAAGGTAATGTTGGAAGCACTCTATTAATGCGTGAGTAACTAAATTTAACTTTTCTAACATGTCTTGAAAACTGTTCTCTAAAAAACGTAAGTAACGTTCACTGGTCAACGTATCCTCGAAACTGTATGGCCAAGAAAAGTTGAAACAATAATACTACACGCTTTTCTTCATTTGAAAAATTCATATTTACAATTTTTGTTTATTTTAATTTACAAAGTGTGGATATGACAGATGTAGCCAAACCAAAATATGGCTTCGATATGTTGATATCTTTATAATCTGGAACGGAACCGATAGACAGTTGGATTCCTTTCTTAATCATATTAATTCACGAAATAACTCAGAATAAATCAGATTCACGATTGAGAAAGAGAAAAACTTCTGTCTGCCGTTTCTGGATGTTCTTGTAAGTAGAGGCGATGGATCCATTAACACACACTTCTGTATATAGAAAACCAACACATACAGGACAATATTTAAATTCTCAGTCGAACCATTCTGAAGCAACAAAAAGAGGTATAATTAAAACACTATGTCATAGAGCAATCAGTATATGCAGTGACCAAGAATCTCAATTCTGAACTAAATAATATTAAAACCGATTTGCTTCAGAATGGTTACTCTGCAAAATCTCTGGACAATATTATATCCAATTGCAGGTCCGACTCATTGGTGCGCCAGCCTGAGGAGGATGCTCTCTCTCTCTTGACGATTCCATATGTGAAAGGAACATCGGAGAAGATCAGGCGAATAGCTAAGCAATATAAAATTAAAACAGTTTTTAAGTCTGGGACTACTCTAAGAAGTGTCCTAACAAAAACAAAACCTGAATCATCAAACCAAGAGAAAGAGTGCATCTACCAGGTACCTTGCGAGTGCGGTGAGTCGTATATTGGAGAGACGAAACGTCCTCTAGATGTGCGACTTGACGAACATAAAAAACATACGCAAAGAGGTGAAACAATGAAGTCGGGCATTGCAGATCATGTGTGGTCCAAGCACCACAATATAAAATGGTCGGAAGCCCGGGTTGTCCACAAAGAACACCATTGGAAAAAGCGCAAATTTAAAGAGGCCGTATTCATTTCTAACAATAATAAAATCTTTAGCAATCCTAGTATGGAAATTTCAACAATATGGCAACCACTCATAAAACGCTCCAATGCAGGCATTCTTAGTGGAGAACCTCATGCTTAACTGCATCCAACTAATTCGCGGGTGAATGCTCAGCTCTAGTATACAGATTGTTAACTCGACAATTACTTATAGGGGAATAGAATGGCAACACTGCCTATTGAGAACGCATGCACTATAGGCTCTTCTGCCGACTCGCCCCGTCGCGTCGTCTATCGACGAGCGGGCCGAGGTTGCCATATTTCAACCATAAAGCTCTTGCCGCGAGTAATAAACAAATTAACAACCTGTATAAGCTCAGTAGTTTTAGGATTCAGTGTAGTTCACACTTGATATCGGTCAGTGATACTTCTGACCGAAACGTTGTGTAACCAAAATAAATAAAGACAATGGAAGTCCGAAATTATTTTAGTTTTAATACTGAATCATTGTCTGCCACATTCAAAGTAAGTATTATTATTAACCATTAACCTATGATTAATATTTTCTCTCAATACATACTCAAATCCTTTCCTTTCTGCTTCTGGGCGCTTCAAAATATTATCATAATTCTCTATCCTGACATTCACATACCCAGGCAGAACATGATTCTTAAGGCATTGGACGGATGGATTCATAATATTCTGAAAATCAAAAAAATTCCCTAGTGTGTATAATTAACATAATGTTCCAGCTACATAGATACTTCTACTAGAGATGAGCAACAAATGATGTGGGAATGAACCTTCAATCACAGCGATTTTAAAATCGCGATCGCAACCTGCGATTGGCTCTCATAGGAAACAGCGACTGCGATTTTTCCTATTTGCGAGTTTCAATTTACGCAACCAATATTACTATAGCCGCGATTTGCGATTTTGTTTCGATTGTGACTTCGTAAACTAGAACCGTGATAACCTTCTATCTGCGAGTTTGAATTTTTATGAGTTGCGATTTGCGATTTTGCTACGAATGTAATTTTGTGGTGCTATTTATAGAGAATGTCTTCCTTTCTAGGGCCGAGATAAATAATATACCGGGTGTTTCTGAAGAGTGGTTTGCCTCTAGAACATTTTATTTTTTCTGATAAAAAGCGAGATTTCGTATGTAAGCATATGACATAAATTAGGATTTATTGACGTATTCAATTCGTTTCGATCACTTTCTGTTTCAAGGGAAATGACTACAACTTTTTATTTTTAAATGGCACCATCGGTTTTTTTTAGTTTGTTCGATAGAAAATGACACTCTGAATAGAATGCCTAGTACAATATTTAAATATTAAAATCGCAATCGCAAGTAACAGTCGCAGCGATTTAAAAATCGACCCCCCCCCCCAATCGCAGTTTTCGCTCATCTCTAACTTCTACCCCCTCTTAATCACTTAAAAACTTAAATAGTACTGTGTTATGGTAACAGAAAATTAATACTCTTTAATGGCATACTGTGCATCACTTTCACAATAAATTTAATCTCAAAATATAAACTTATGACATACAAATAAATAGTTGTATTTAACATAATAATATTTGGCCTGATTTTTCATAGTCAATGGCAGTTTTTATCAAAATCTAAATTGTTTATATCCTTTGAATAAAAATATTAAGGAAGGAGCAGTTCAAAAATATTAGATCGAACGCGACGGGTTCCTAAAATGGCCGACTTAAATTCCGGTTTATCAGTGCCGTTCTAATTTTATTCAAAACGTTTAAAAATATGATATAGGGTAGACTCAATAATTTGCTGTTTTATTTTATGTTGTATATACATGTTTGTAGTTATTATAATTCTAATAAAAATAGATGAGTTATAATAATTATTTATTAACACAAACATCCGATACGCTACTGACACAGGTAAGTCAAATTGACGTATCTAAATTCTTTGACATGTAGTAAATAAAAGCATAAAAGCAAGAAAAAATATATAATTAGTTAATTTTAAGTGAATTTCATAAATGATCGATCTGGGTTTACTATACACGTATATATACTATATACGTATACCGGGTGTTGCATCGTCGGACAGGAAATCCCATGTAAATTTTAATAGGGTCAATTAGCTCATTTACGATATATCGCCGATTTCTTTTTAAATATTTCTCCTTTCTTATGGCCCTGTATTTACTTATAAGCACTAGTCAAGGTAAAAGATAATTGTCAAATGAAGTTGTCATTTCAGAAATTTACCTATTTAGTGCTTTATTATTATTGAAAACTCATTCCTACATCGGAAATCTTAAAGATGTATTTATAAATACAAATTAATATGAATTAAAGTAAAATAAAGTAATCAATTACAAGGTTAATCATAGTATTATTACAATATTCAATAACTTATTAATTTAGGTACTATTAAATTGTTAGAACTTTAGGATTTAAGATGTTCAAATATTCCTCCATCGACTGCTAGACAATAACCCAGGCGATCATAGTTATTAATTTAGGTACTATTAAATTGTTAGAACTATAGGATTTAAGAAGATGTTCAAATATTCCTCCATCGACTGCTAGACAATAACCCAGGCGATCATAAAATACTCTTACATTCGCTACTTGGTAAACTCAAATTCTATTGCATTCGGCAGAAATAGCATTTTTTAACTCGTCTAGATTTGGGTATCTTTTATCCTTGTATATCCTGTTTCCTAAATGGCCCCAAAGAGAGAAATCATTTGGCGAAATATCAGGAGACCTTGCTGGCCAATTTACTGTATGATTTAGGCCAATAACGTTTCCGTTAAAAGTATTGTCTAAATATTCCTGAACAGCCAGGGTACTATGTGCCGGGCAGCCATCCATTTGGAACCAAACTTCCTGATTTTCCCTAGCGGCATCATGTAAAGCAGGTAAAATATGATTTTCGAGTAGTTCCATATAATATTCTGCATTTAAATTTCGTGTAAGAAATAATGGCCCGATAATATTGTGTCCAAATATCCCTGCCCAAACATTTACTTTCTGTGGATATTGCATCCTTGTTTCGACAAACCTGGGTTGGTTTTCTTTGTTCCAATATCGATAAATTTTGAACACTGGGTTCATTATTTAAGATAAAGGTGCAGTCGTCAGTGAAATATATGTTTTTTAAAAATTCCCTATCCGTGTTTGCTCTTTCCATCATATCAAAACAAAACGCCTGCCGCCGTATTTCGTCCCCATCTCGTAGCTCTTGGTGCTTTTCATATTTGAAGGAATAGTATTTATGTCGTTTCAAAATTCGAAACGCTGTAGTGTGATCTATTCCTATTTCATCCTCAAGTTTCCTTGTGTTGATCTTTCCATCGTTCTCTTCCACGCACAATAAAACTTCCAAGTCGGTATCATTTCTTGCATCTTCTCTTTGTTCCTGCCTCCCATCTGCAGTTATTTATTAGGGTACCTTTGGTCTCAAATCTCTGGATATTCCTTGCGATTGTAGATTTTCCAGGTATCGGTCTATTCGAATACAGAGCAGCAAACATGTCCGACACCTTTTGATAACTATTTCCTTGATAATACCATTTAATCATCAATACTTTTTCTTCGGTAGTGTAATTCATGGCTAATATTTTCGATGTAGGTATGAGTTTAATAATAATAGTAAAGCGCTAAATAGATAAATTTCTGAAATGACAACTTCATTTGACAGTTATCTTTTACCTTGACTGGTGCTCATAAGTAAATACAGGGCCATAAGACAGGAGAAATAATTAAAAAGGAATCGGCGATAACTCGTAAACGGGCTAATCAAAAATATCTAAAGTTATTCTTTTGAATGTAGGTTTTAGTGCTCTTCAATAAACCTAAATAGAATTATTCTCTAAAATAATTAGGGAAGCCAATAATTGACCCCATTAAAATTTACATGGGATTTCCTATGTCCCGATCGACGATGCAACACCCGGTATATACTCACTTACTAGCGAAAAGTTATTCCATTATTTCCCTCGAGTCTTGACCGAAATCTACCGCACCCTACACAACCAACTATTTTACAGTCTTTTTCGATAAATCGCAATAGTGTCACTGTTAATTTAAGTTCTGCTACAATTTCATTCTAGATTTACTACCTTTAAACAAGTATCAGTAACAGAATAAATAATAAATAACATAAAATAAGCTCAGTAAAAACAGACAAATCCACAAAATTTAAAATCAAATTCAAATGTGTCAAATGAATCGTCAAACAGAACTGTCAAGGATCCCCACTCTATGGCCTTTTGTCCGTCTACCATGCATGAATACATGGATAGCATTATACTCTTTCCTTAATCTTTTTATAAGCTTTTATTTAACTTGCTTTGTATGTAACTATCTATGTAACTATCTATGTAACTATCTATGTAACTATCTATGTAACTATCTATGTAACTATCTATGTAACTATCTATGTAACTATCTATGTAACTATCTCTGTAACTATCTATGTAACTATCTATGTAACTATCTATGTAACTATCTATGTAACCCCCCCCAAAGCATCTCCACCTTGTCGTGGTGGGGGGGCATATTTGCTTCAATGATCCAGAGATTCGAAAGGGTCAAAGGGGAGAAGTAATACTAAGAGAGATGCAACAAGTCAATATATGGTAAATGAAACCTATAGAGACAAAACTTACCGCACAGGGGGTCGGATCCCCAGTGCCGGTCCAGGAGATGGGTGGTAAAGCAGGCCCGCCTGGTCCGTCAGCCAACGACTGCGGCTTTACTTCGGTAGGAAACCAGGCCGAGTGGAGTAAAATTACTACTGGAATTGAGGATGGCGATCCTTTTGCAAGAAGGGAATCTTTACAAAGAACACCTCCGAGAATGAGAACCTTTTCACTACCACAAGAGTACACTCAAGATATGCAACCTATGAAGAGGAAAAGAGCAGATTGGGCCGTCGATCAAAATAAAAAGACAAATGATTTGAATAAATATAAGAGCGCGCTGCAGGATATTTACAAACATATCAACAAACTAGACAATTTGATAAAAGACATGTACAAACCGAAAGTGGAGATTAAAGAGATTGCGAGTAGACTGACTTTACGAGCAGAGATATTGAAGGAAAACGACCTGATTGGGTGGATTGAAAAAAATGAAGGAACTCAAAACGCTTCTCTTGTAGAAGAGAATCAGAGACTCCGAAAATTAGTTAAAAAACAAGAAAGCGACTTGGCCAATTTCCATAAAATTCAGGAGGAGAGTACATGTAAAAAATGTTCAGCGCTGAAGAATCGCGGTAAACTAAGGAGGTCTTTACTACAAGGAAATTCCTATGAAGATTTTAAAAAAATACCAGAAGAAATGTGGGATGAAGAAGTTTTCTCGAACAATGTAGTTACGCATGGTCATATTTGGGATGCACCAGATGACATAGATATCGTGCTTCCTTGCAACATAAATTTCCAATCCATAGATAAGCAAACAAATGATGCTATCAAGAGATTCGGTGGAACAAACGGCCTCCAAAAACAAGAAAAGGAAGTATTTCAAGTAGCTCAAATGTTATACACCCTGGGTTTTCCCGATAAAACAGGAACTATGGTTTATACCACAAAAAATATTTTATACCCTATTATTTATTGAAAAGATATTGAAGATAGAACTGAGGATACAAAATTATTTGAATGCGTAAAAGAGCTTAAAATGATTGCCGTAAAAAAGGGAACAAAGAA